GTGCGGCTCGGCACGGGTCGGCTGCGCGTGAGAGTGGCCTTGCGTTGGAGTGACCTTCTGGTGCGGGCCCGCAGTCAGAGGAGCAAGAGGGCATGATGATGCTGCTGATGATGAGGATGATGACGATGATGATGACGATGTTGGCCATGATGGCCATGATGATGATGATGATGATGATGATGCTGATGATGATGATGATGATGATGATGATGATGATGTGTAGGTTCGTGATGATGTTGATGTTGATGTTGATGTTGATGTTGATGTTGATGTTGATGTTGATGTTGATGTTGATGTTGATGTTGATGTTGATGTTGATGTTGATGATGGCGACGAATATGATGGTGCTGATGCTGATGCTGATGATGATGATGATGTTGATGGTGATGATGGTGATGGTGATGATGATGATGATGATGATGGTGATGGTGATGGCGATGAGGATGAGGATGAGGATGAGGATGAGGATGAGGATGAGGATGATGGTGATGATGATGATGATGGTGGTGGTGGTGATGATGGTGATGGTGATGATGATGATGATGATGATGATGATGATGATGATGATGATGATGATGATGATGATGATGATGATGATGATGAGTTCCCAGACCCCCTCATGTTCCACACGGGCTGCAGAAACGAAGGCCGGATACTGGAAATCCTGGAACGTATCCTGAGCCAATCTTATCATGGCGTCATTCTCGCCCTGCACAGGGGCCCCCCCAGCACTGGCCCGTGCTCTCGCAGTTGGCCTACCCGGGGCCACCTGAAGCCGCGCACCAGAGGCCACGCTTGCCCAGGATCGCTCCTGCGTGTAGCCGCCCCCCCGCCGCCGCTGCTGGCGCCGCCGCCGCGGGCTGTGCGGCTCGGCGCGGAGAGCAGGGGCAACGTTGCGGTTGGGGGCTCTGGGACAGCGCGTCGCTCCGCCGGCTCTGGCCCTCCACGCTGTGGAGCGACGCGCTGTCCGCGTCCTGGCCCCCAAGCGTCAACGCCCCGACCTTTTCCCGACCTGCGGAGCGGAGCGACACGCTATCCGCTCGCGAGGCACGGCGTGTCGCCGCCCGCCGCGACACGCTATGCAAAAGTTCATGACCGTAGGGGGGGGGGGTCAGGGGGAGGGCGCATCGACACCCTATCGCCCACTCATCGGCGATAGGGGGCCAATAGCCCACCCCGCCCATGATCGTGCGGTTTTGCTATCGGGCGCCCATCGCCGATCTATCGGCGATGTATCGCCCACTCCAGCTCAATATTTTCCCATCCCCCTGGGCTGGTCCCCCCCTGACATGGCCCCAAAAGGATGGGTCCGGGAGTTCCAGGCCGCCTGGCGTCGGTCAAGCGGCGCCGCAGCAGGTTGCCTGAACTCGCAGCGTGTCCCGCAGCGCTTTTCTGTAGCATCTTTGACTGCGCACATTTGTGCGCTGGCCCGTGCCAGGTCAGGAGTCACACCATCGCCTCGGCAAGTAAGTACGTGTTTGCACAGCCGTGCGCACACTTGACTGGACGGCCGTGCACGGGACCGTCTCAACTATTCGGGTTTGGGGCTACACAGGTGGGGCGAGAGCATGTGTGGTCGGAGCCGCATCGCCAATGCATCGGTGATGCGGCTCGAGGCGGTCACGACGACGAGGAAGAGGTCTGGCCCGTGTGCCCCATGGCTCTGGTGTGGGTGGACCGTTGGCTCCCCATGACCCTGGAACACCCCTGTAAGGGCTTGGGCTTCGGAAACCTCCGACGCCCACCGAATGCCTTCGGAAACATCCGAAATTTGCCGAGCACGTCCGAAAATCTGGAGGGGGAGCAGCGTCCTCCGCTGGCTCGGAAAAAACATCAGAGACCCCCCGAGAAAACAATGCGGCACGCTCCGAAAAGCTGGGAGTCCGTCCGAAGATGCCCGAGGTCCTCCGAACGCCTCCGAAGCCCACCGACCGCCCTCGAAGTCGTCCGGAAGCGTCCGGCGGGGGTGGCGTCCTCCGAGGGCGGCAGTTCAGCCGTTTGGGCTCGAGCCACCGCGTGCGCCGGCGCCAGCGGCCCTCCAGGCGGCGGCCAGCCGGAGGACTGGCGCAGGGTGGCCGACGCGGGAGGCGACGATGAAGCCGACGCGGGGGGCGACGGTCGGACGAGGCGACAACGAATTCGGGCATGTCCCTATTTGGAGTATTTTTGAGCTTGTTTTGACTATGTTTGTTTCTCTTCTCAAATCCGCCTGTAGGAGGATATGCCCGACTTATGGCTACAACCCTCCTCGAAATCGAACGCAAGTTGTCATCCGACCCCCTCGCCCCCGAATTTCCTTGTTGATGGACGCGGGCAGCGTCTGCGTCGACGTTGGAAGTGGGGGGTCTGGGAGCGTCGCCATGCCGTGGGAAAAAACTTGCGTTTGGTTTCGAGGGGGGATGTAGGACGAGGATGGATCAGTTCCAGAGGTTTCCGGAGCGCTCTGAGGAGGCCGCGGCGCCGGCGGCATCTTACAGAGCCACCGGATCTCAGAGGCTTCTTATTTGTCCTCACTCGATTTGGGCCTCGTCCTGGCTTCGTCTAAGACGGAGTCTAATAGCTTCTCGTCAGAAGAGCAAGGGATCATGATAGTGATGCGTTCCAGGATTTCCGAGATTTCCCAGAAATCTAAGATCGCCTAATGTTCCACACGAGGCGCAGAAACGAGGGCCACTGGATGCTCCGGACTTCTTGGAACGCATCCTGAGCTAATCTTACTGTATCTTGAGATTATTCCCACCCTATCTAGACGACCAATGTTTGGGACCTATGCCAAATATCATCCTCACATGCTAGCCACACGCATCTGTAGACGCATGGGGTGTTGTTACATACAGAGACACAGTCGGGGTGCATGCGTCTATAGGCAACGCGACCGTTGCGTTCGGCGCAGTACAAGGTCGTAGAAAAGGTAGACCCGTCTACGGTATGTTCCTGTTCTACCGCGGGCCCCACATGGTATTCCAAAGTAGAGCTGCGTGATTTCATGAGGAGCCGCCATCCACCAACGGAGCTGTTACATATGTTCAAGCTTCTTGTCTTTAAGTTCACAGAAGTCTCAAGCAAGAGCCCCGTTTTGAAAAGGATTCCCATTCCATCCTTAAAGCGAACCACTCTGCGCGGTGCTAAGGCGAAAGCCCCATTTTGAACAGAAACCGCCCTCCATCCATGTAGTTCTTGCAAGTTTGCAGGTCGAGCATGCGCGGTGCTAAGGCGAGAGCTCCATGTTGAAAACGACTCCCCTTCCATCCGTGTAACTTTTCGTGAGCTTTTGAGGCGAATATGCGCGGCGCTAAAGCGAGAGCTCCGTTTTGAAACGACTTCTCCTCCATCCGTGTAGCTGTTGCAGGGTGCAAGCTTCAGGACCCGAATTGGCGAGGGATCTCAGGCGGAACGCCCAGCCCGCCCTGCCGGCACGTATGGCTGTGCGACAGGACGGAGTTGTTCAGAAGGGGAAGGGCTCGGGGGTGGAGGAGAGGGAGGAGTGGGAGGAAGGAGGAGGGAGGAGGGAGGAGGGAGGGGGGAGGAGGGAGGAGGAGGAGGAGGAGGAGGAGGAGGAGGAGCGAGGAGGAGGAGGAGGAGGAGGAGGAGGAGGAGGAGGAGGAGGAGGAGGAGGAGGAGGAGGAGGAGGAGGAGGAGGAGGAGGGAGGAGGAGAAGGAGGAGGAGGGATCAGAGAGGGGCGCAAGAGAGGGAGGAGGAGGGCGACCTGGGTAAAGCCAACACCAGTCACTGATGCTACAACACACCCTCCCGTCCAAAGTCGCTCCCTCATAAGTCAGGGTGACTATATGTTCAATACAGTTAAGTGCATGTTGAACTTTTTAGGGGTCCATGGGTCTTCATTGCGAGAAGCGTCCTACCGATTTTGAGATGTACATCCACGGTCGGATGAAAATCCGACGACCAAGTTTCACAAAGTACAGAGTTGATCGGGAATAGACCTTCTTACAGGTATAGCTGATAGAATGTAAGAAGCGTGTGTGCGACGCCAGAGCGGGAGCACGCTGCTCAAAAGGAGCAGCATCCCATCCCTCCATAGTTCCGTAATGAAGCTCTCAGAGTGTATGATCATTGGCACGCGAGGCAGTATCCGACGACAGCACGGCTTTGAGAAGGAATCTCAATCCATATATGTGGTTGTTGCCAATACTTGGGGTATGAAGTGTGCGGGGGTCTCAGGCGACAGCCAAATTTGGAAATGAACAGTTTCAATCAGAGCAGTTGAGAAATCTCAGGCGAAAGCCATATTTTGGAAAGGAGCCGCCATCCATCTAGCAGGCAGCTGGAGCCGTTAAAGGCCATACCATGTGAGGAAACATCAGGCCAGAGCCAGATGTTTTAAACCACCAGCCATTCATCAATGTAGCAGGTGGACATTTCAAGCTTTGCGATCAAAGGGCATGCGCTGGTCTCAGGGGAGAGCCCGGTGTTCCCCCCCCGCCCGCTATCCGCTTACGTAACTACTTGGAACGCCAGGCTTCATAATCATACCATTTGAGGAAGCTTCAGGCGAGAGCCAGATACTGAAAAGGCCTACCTCCTATCCATGTAATTGCTGGACGCGTCAAGCTTTAGGATCGTGAGTTTCCAGGTGGCGTCAGGCAAGAGCCAGATGCTGAAAACGACCCACGCTCTGTCCGCGTACTGGTACTGAACTCCCAACTGTGATGAAGCCTCAGGCGAGTATCAGATTGTGACAAACGCCTTCCCCCATCCGTGTAACTGCTTGGAGTTCCAAGCTGCAGGTTCAGAGAGGTGAGGAGGTCCCAGACTACACACCCAGACCGCCACGTCTGGTGGTGAGAGTGGTGCGACGTTGAGGAGCTCACAATGACAAGAGATGTAGAAGAGGAGGAGGAGGCGGAGGAGGATCGTGGTAGAGCTTGGCAGTGCCAGAAGCGTCGCGACCGATGCCCGACCCCTCGTGCACAAGTGAAACAAATTTGCCCGTCGCGGGCTGACTACGGCTGATGAAAAAAATGTTGGACGAGACGGTGGCCCAGGGATTTGGCATTCCCTTGCTTGGCGCCTGCATTTCCGGCCTGGGGGTCCGAGAGCAGTCGGCAGGCCCTTGCGAAGCTCCAGAGTCGATTTGCGAGTTCACTGCCCCAAAGACTGTGCGACCTGATAGTTTGGCGCTCGGAATTGTTCGCATGCGGTTTCGCCATCTTCATGCTTACACCTCTCCTCTCCAGCCCAGGCCTCGGATGCCCTGGGTCGGGTGCCACATGCGGTGCCTCACCACGTCATCTTGCCCCAGTGAGCGCGTCGTGGCCTCGGTCGGACCCCTGCCCGACGCGCCCTCGGGCACCACCTTGCAGTCGGTCCACATACGCACCGTGGTCTCGAGTGTCTCCTGGACTGCTCAGAGCTCGTCTATGCAACTCCATTATTCGTGCTGCTCCACGGTGAGCGGGCGGCTATCCTTGCCGACAGCGCTCCAGCCAACGCGACCCTCCGCAGGGTAAACCTTCTGCAGCAATGGGCCATCCGTGCAGGCGTCGCTCGTGGGGGCTCCTCCCCCCGCTTGTTCGACCTGCTGGGCCGTTCTCGGGTCCGCCGGGCCGAGGGCGACGGCGGAGTCCATACGGTGCTGTGGGTCCCTGGCACACATTACAGTGGAGACCCATGCCAAGAAACACCCTGCTTGCATCCAGGGTGCCCTGGGCTTCGTGGGCTTCGATGGTTTTGCTGTGGGAAGCGTGACGTTCCAACACCAGAGATCAATGGGCGTCCTGGGGTCTCGGGGTTGGGTTTCGTGCGGAAGATCTCTCGTGGTCGGGCCCCTGCTGCACCTCCGGTCTCCACGAGCTGGCGCCTCGCTCCACGAACGCGGTGGCCATCTGCCGGGCGTCGGGCGGCCTTACGATCCAGGCAGCAAACTGTACGGTGCTACGCGTGTTTGCGCCCTCGGCCGCATTGCATGCCAGGCGCTGTAGTCAAGGCCCGAGAAGGAGGAGGAGGAGGAGGAGGAGGAGGAGGAGGAGGAGGAGGAGGACGAGGAGGAGGAGGAGGAGCAGGAGGGAGGAGGAGGAGGAGGAGGAGGACGAGGAGGAGGAGGAGGAGGAGGAGGAGAGAGGAGGGAGGAGGAGGAGGAGGAGGAGAGGAGGAGGAGGAGGAGGAGGAGGAGGAGGAGGAGGAGGAGGAGGAGGAGGAGGGAGGAGGAGGAGGAGGAGGGGAGGAGGAGGAGGAGGAGGAGGAGGAGGAGAGGAGGAGGAGGAGGAGGAGGAGGAGGAGGAGGAGGAGGAGGAGGAGGAGGAGGAGGAGGAGGACGACGACGACGACGACGACGACAACGACGAGGGGGAGGGGGGCCACGTGCCGAGCTTTCAGTCGGGCATGCCCCTCTACAGGAGGAATACACAAAATTAGTCACAAAATAGTCTGGGGGCGATTCTTCGATCTGTTTTTGTTTATGTTTTTTGCGCATGTTTTGACTATTTCTGCTTTTCGCCCAAAGTCCGCCTGCAGGGGGACATGCCCAACCTAAGCCGAGCTGCGTCGCTTCAGGGTCAGCCTGCCTCCAGTTTTTGCCGGTCGGCCGACCAGCGTCTCGCCTGAGGAGGGTCCGTGCACATGTCGGACACGGGATCGGAGTGGGACCCAGACGTTGTCCACCGCTACGGGTCGGACCGCTCAGAGACCGGAGCAGAAGAGGGTTTCCGCAGCGGCCGCGACGACGACGTCCCTGGGCAGCCGAAGAAGAGGGGTCGGTGTTCCGTGCGCCAGCGCAACAATAAGAGGATCCAGGAGTTCACAGACTCGCCACGGTTGATCAAGAGGATCGAGATCCGCTTCAGGCGAGAGGATTGGCTCACGTTGTTGGGGACGTTTCAGCTGCTTCCCGACCCAGACTTTCAGGACGCGACGACCAACTGCCATCGCGTTGCCCAGCTGCGCACGGAGGCGGCGGTCTGGGGCGAGGGGCCGTCTAAAAAATCTCCAGGTTTGACGATTGGCGGTTTAGTGATCACCTCCCGGTGGATGGGGCAAAAGAAGACAAACGGAACGGGTTATTGGCTTGGCGACCGGCTAGATATTTCGCCTCTGAAGGTAGATCCGGCAGAGGCGGATACACCAGAGGGGTTCCAGTTGCTGGTCGACCGTCAGATGCAAGAGCTTTTTGGGCGCCAGGAGTTAGTCACACTCGGCCTCATCGTGCAAGTGAAGCTGAAAGTGGAGCTGTTCGAGGTGAGCTTGCCAGCCAAGCGGTCCGAGGCCAAGGCCATCCACAGCTACGCAGGCCCTGTGCAGATGAAGCGCATCATGAAGACTATTCCCAGCTACGTGCCAGAGGACAGGTTCTTGAACCTCAACGCAGGCGAGGCACGCTGCTGGGTAGCCAAGACGAGGTCCCAGAAGGGCAATGTTCAAACATACCACTACCATGTGGGTCCAGACCACTGCTTCCAGCCAGGTGAGATCGTGACCTTCAGAATTCATGCGGAGATCTGGCGCTTCAGAACACCGGTGTGGGTGATATCGGAGGCAGAGCAGGATGCGTTTCAGAGGCTGTGGGACGAGGGTAAGTGCAAAGAGGATTTCCTGGTGAAGGATACGCTGAAAGCTGGTGACCGGTTTGTGCTCATGCCCTGCTTCGACCGCAGGGCCACGGGGCGACCCGATTGGAGGATGGTGCGCGAGAGGGAGCTCGTGACAGACCTCGCGGAGGATGGCTCCAGGAGTGCCGGCAATGGCCCGCAGCGCAGCCCAGACTGCGGGTTCATCACCAAAAAACTCTTGGAGGATTTCGCATTAGACAGGCCAGACAGCGAAGGCAACCCCAAGGAGGTGAAGATCATGCTCGGAGGCCTGGAGACGGACACCAACACCAATAGTGGCGGCGTGCCTGCACCAAGGGCAGACGCTCCCGATCTCGGCAATGGTGGCAAATATTCGGGCTTCCCAGGTGGCCGAAATATCACCACCAACACCGACATGTAGGGTCATCCTCCCCCCAGTGGACGCACACCCCAAACAGGGAGGTGCGTGCATCGGGGGAGGATGATCCTACATCTGCCAATTTCCAAACCTCACCTCCAAGCCTCCAACATACACTCATTCTGTTTTGGTGTCGAAGCTCATTTCCAAGCCTCCAGTATACACTCGGATTGCCACTGCCTGACCATTAAGCTGTCGGTGCCGGCCTTCATCGGGGCCCCCCGCAGGGAGCAGGATGACGTGTCTGCCCCCTCCCCGCCCGGCCTGGCGCTGCAGAACGTGAGGCATTTCATGGATCTGCGCGGCAGGCTCGGATTCAATGCCATGGGCTTGCTGCACAAGCGTGACGATACCTTCACGGACGAGGGCGTCGGGCTTGAGGTGCCCCTCCGCAACAATTCTGTTATGTTGCCGAGGTCACAGCTCTTGTTCATGGACTACTGGCGCGACGCACAGGAGCAGAAGGCTTTCCGTAAGGTCCTGGAGAAGATCAAAGATGCTGATTTCTTGCAGGAAATGCCCGAATGAAAAAATGGTTACCAGCGTGGGCCCCAAACAGTGTGTTATTGCACTCTCGATGTGCAGCATTCGTGGTACATGCCGTGTCTGGTGCAACCTATGTGGTGATGGTGTGATAGTGGTTGTAATGGTGATGATGATGATGATGACGACGATGACGATGATAATGATGACGATGATGATGATGATGATGATGATGATGATGACGATGATGATAACGATGATGATGACGATGATGATGTTGATGGTGATAATGATGATGACGGTGACGGTGACGATGACGATGCTGATGGCGATCGCAGTGGTGACGTTCGCGATGCTGATAACGATTGTGCCAGTGAGGATGATGAGGAAGTGCGCGCTCGCAGAAATGCAGAATGCCTGTCATATTGTTACTGAAAGTCAACTAGGGTTTCGTGGGCGTTTGGAGCACATGCGTGTTGAAACCCATACAAGATGTCTGCTGGCGTGAACCCCAAGCAGCAGGTTTACAGTTAGGGTGGCAGGTAGGCGCGGTACGGATGTCGTGGATCCCGCGTGCGATGTTTGGGGTGGGGGCGGCGTGCGATCAGGTCACGGCGCAGTCCCAGATTGCCATGGATCCACGTACGGCGCCACTTGGATGGCTCGAGGACGAGCGTGCGGCTACAGGAGACCACATGCGAACCCTACCCCTACCCCCCACGATCTCTGACGGAACGAAGTGAACCCCACCCTCACCTTCAGAAATCGTGGGGGGTAGTGGTAGGGTTCGCATGTGTTCCCCTAGGCTAGACTCGAAGGTCTTGGGTGAGTATTTGTTTCTGGGAGGGGGGTGCGGTGGCTGGGAGCTTTCTTCCTGAGCCTCTGACGTACCCAGAGTCTACGGGTACTCCCCCCCGAGCCTTTCTATGGTTGGCTTTTCCTTGCCATTTGCGTGCACGTTCCAGCGGTGTTGTGCGCGCTATACGTGCGAGCACCGTGCGAGAATAGTTCCGCGTGGTTGAGGAGTGAACGCCTTGTGACGGACACATCGTTAGCCCCGTTCTGATGTTGCGATGACCCCGTGCACATTGATATTCACCAGAGCTTGGAACAACGGCGATATGTCTGACACTCGAGCATACCACGTCATCCTCATGTTTGTGTTCACCCTCATCGCACTCGCTATCCACGTCAACCTCCCCGTTGTCATCGCCGTCCCTTTGCTGATGATCTGAGTCATACTCTTCCTCCTCATCTTATTCATCCTCATCGTTGCCAACCCCCTCCGCCCTTCCATTCTCCTTACATTAACCCTCCTCGTTTGATTTGGTCATGCTAATCCTCATCCTCTCTCCACATTGCTTTCCTCCTGATCCGCCTCCTCCTCCGCCTCCTCCTGAGACTCCGATACTACCCGACAGTTCTTTGCACACCCATGCGTTGTACCAGAAAGTGTCTCACACACGTCTTCGAGCACATTGTCCCCCTTTTCCGCTCCTCTCCCAGCGGCGACGATGAGAGCACGGTCATCTCGGTGCGCATCGCAGCCGACGCCAGCGGGGCGCCGTTGCTGACGTACGCAGCGGGAGGGGGTCGGGGAAGCGGGTGTAGTCATGTTGAGGAGACGACGGCGCCCCGTTTTTCAGCGCTTCATGCAGCATGAAACTTCATGCCCGCATGCTGACAATAGTACGGCGACCTTGTCTCAAGGGCCGCGCTGTTATCCCCAAAGGCTGAAGAGAATGCTTGGAGAGGCTTCTCCAAGACGAGGCCCAGAATTCCCTAGGACGATGCTCAAACATATTTCTGGAGTTATGATGAGGCCCAAGGCGCGCCTTTTCAATGCCCCAGTGGGCCTCTCACACTCCGCGGTAACTCTTGCCGACGCCGAACCTTGTCCGCTCAGCCCCGTGACTCTCTGAGAAATCATGCGCACATCCACAGCGAAGTGCGTGAATGGATAGGCAGCAGAGGAGGAGGACGTCAACGATGGTGAGGGGGAGAAGGGGGCGATGATGTCGCGCCCTTGCCTCGGCCCGAGCCACGCCCTTTGTCCAGAGTCGCTGTGGAGTGGAATCGTACCAAAATCCGCGGTTCTGAGCTGTTCTCTCCCCACGAATTAACCACATCCTGGGTTCAGAACGACGCCCTCGCTTTAGCGCTGGCCACATCGAGCCCGACGATTCGCCCCCCCGCGCGACTCCCACGCACTCTCTGCGGTCCTTTGAATTAGCAGGGCCTCTTCTTTGAAGTGGTGTTTGCGTCTCGTCCCCCCCGCACTTCCCGCCACCACAATTCACCGACACGCACACACCCACGCTCTCTCTCCCTCTCTCTCTCTCTCTCTCTCTTACACACACACACACACTTTTCATCCAGCGGCCAAGTAACGTCATTGCAGCTAAGGGCATCGAAGGACTCAGGCGGGCCACGCTTAGCATCCATTCGACCTGACGTTGCAGGTGCGTGGACCCCGCAGGGCGAGTCGTGTGCAGAGCATGGATGATGGCTGCGCTGGGCGAGCACGCGTCAGAAAAGGCAGCATGCACAGTGCAGGGAAGAGTCCGGCAGGCCGGGAAAAGAGGTCGCCGAGCACCCAGACCTGCACTGCAGCACGAGGAGCGCCGAGGAGCGCCGAGGAGCGCCGAGGAGCGCCGAGGAGCGCCGAGGGGTTTCGGGAGCGCCGAGGAGCGCCGAGCCCAGAGACCCCAGCCGGGTGGCCGTAGCCCGGACACGTGAGCAGAGGGGCCCAGCACCCAGCTTGGCATCGCTCGGACGTGTGTCCTCGGCAAGGACCTTCGAGGGGCGCGTTGAGCCGTCTTGCGAGAAAATGCACGCACGAAGCAGAAAAAAGCGCACGAGGAATGGACGTCTGATCGATGGCGAGCTGGGCGGGCACGAGAGAGAAATGAACCTGGCCCGCGACTGCACCCGCCGAGCGGGCCGCGAAAAGTAGAAAGGAGGGGGGAAGGGGAGAAGGGAGAAAGCTAGCAGCGCAGGCAGAGCAAGGACAGAGCGCAGCCCACTAAGAGGCACGCAGGATGGATTGCGGCGTCCGCGCCAGCAAAGCGTATACATACGCACACACACACACACACACACACTTGTTCGTGCGGTGCCCGAGTGACGCTACCACAGCCCCAGCTAGAATGAGCAGCAGACGATCTTGGATTCCGCACGGCTTCGCGGGTGGGTGGCTGCACTAGGCGAGCGGGTTGGAGAGGAAGAGGTTCCAATTTAGTAGGATGGCCAGCGGACCACACACACGCACACACCATCGAGTAGTCCTTCTTGAAAAGACCCCCCCCCCCGAGACGAACCTGCAAATTGGGCGTTGCCCGTCCAGCGTCGACCCCTCGCGTGATGCGAGTGCTGAGCTCGATCCCCCCCCCATCCCCTCCCCTCCTCGTCCTCTTCCTTCTCCTCCGACGGGAATCAGGCGCCTCCAGGACCTTCAAAACCTTCACAATGCAGCGAGGACCTTGGGAGATTTTGAAGCCTCTTCGGAGAGGGGGAGGGGGACGAGGAGGAGGAGGAGGAGGAGGAGGAGGAAGAGGATGAGGAGGACCAGTGCAAACCCAAGACTCATGAACGATGTTGAAATGCACCCTCCCTCCAAGATCCCTCTTCATAGGCCCTCACAAGGGGCAATTCCCCCTGGGGGAATTGGAAAGCCTACTGTTTTTTCCGCGCCGACTTCTTCCGAATGACTTCTTCCAGACCAATTCTTCCAGACGACTTCTTCCGGATCACTTCTTCCAGACCAATTCTTCCAGACGACTTCTTCCGGATCACTTCTTCCGACGACGACTTCTTCCGCGACGATTTCTTCCAGACGGCTTCTTCCAGACGACTTCTTCCGAACGACTTGTTCCGAGCGACTTCGTCCGAAAATTTATCGCCGCTTCGTCGTGCATCCTCCACCTCCTTCTCCTACTCTTTGGTTTGTTCCTCCTTCTCTCTCGATCTGCTCCGCGACGGTCTCTTCCTAGAACGGTCTCTGTCTAACACGGTTTCCTCCGCGATGATTTCTTCCAGACGACTTGTTTGGGACGACTTCTTCCGAACGACTTCTTCCGGACGACTTTTTCTGGACCGTTTCCGGACGACTTCTTTTGGACGACTTCTTTTGCACGACTTCTTCCGAGACGATTTCTTCCGGACGACTTCTTCCGAGGAGATTTCTGGGCGAATTCTTCCGAAGGTGTCTTCTTCCAAAACGTCCTCATCCGAGCGATTTCTTCCGGAAAAGCTTTTCTGGATGATTTCTGCCGATGATGATTTCTTTTGGGGCGACTTCTGTTGGGCGTGTTTGTTCGTAAAAGTCTTCCGGGCGACTTCCGATGGTGGCTTCTTCTGGGGCGCCTTCTTCCGGGCCCCCTCTTCCAGGCGACTTCTTCTGGACAACTTTTTCCGAAGGTGAGTTCTGCCGATGCGATTTCTGCTGGCCCCCTCCTCGCTCCTCCTTCTCCTCCACCTTTCCGCTCTTCCTCCCAGGCCTCCTATCATCCTCTCATCCCTCCTCACTCCTAACTCCTCCTGCCTCTTGCTTCCTCTCCCTTCTCCTCCCTCCTCCTTCCTGCCTTCTCTCTCCTCCCTCCTGCGTCTCACCTCCTCCTGTTCCCTCCGCCCGTATCCCCCTTGCTTCCTCCCTAGTCCCCTCCCCCATCCGTCTTCGTTCCTCTGTCCTTTTCCCTCGTCCCTCTACTCGGCACGCGGCAATGCCTGCGGAGCGGAAAGTGAAACTATTCCACTGTACTCGCCACGTGGCAAACGCTTGGGGGGGTGAACAAATGTGCTACCCCACTCTTCGCGACGTGGCAACACTCGCGGGACTGACACAAATACTACGCGCGAATTTCCAGGTGGAAGCGACGGGGGAGCGAACACGCAAGCTGCTCCACTCCACGACTCGCCACGTGGCAACCCCTGCGAGGCGGAACACATATTTGTTCGTTCTATTCGTCGCGTGGCAACTCCGGGGGAGCGAAACAAATACTGCTCCACACTCCCTGCCACGAGGCAGCGCTTGCGGAGCGAAACAGAAGCTTGGCATCGCTCGGACGTGTGCAGTTTTTTCTCGGCGAGAAACATCGAGGACCATCCTGGACCATCGAGCAAAAAAAAACACGCACGAAACCGAAAAATGCACGGGAAATGGACGTCCGAGCGACGGCAAGGAAGCACTCCACACGATTCGGTACGTGGCAACGAAGCGGGGCGGCAACAAATGCTACTCCTCTGAACTCGCCGCATAGCAGCGCCACGTGGCAAGGCCTGAGAGGTACACAAAAATACTACCCCACTCAAGTCGCCACGTGGCAACGGCATAGGGGAGCGAACAAGAAGTAAAAGTACACTCAACTCATCACGTGGCAATGCCGCGCGGACCGAACATAGACAATCCCGCTGCACTCGCCACATGGCAGCGGTGGGGTTGTGTGTGTGTGGGGGGGGGGAAATGAAGATTACATTATATTCGCTACGTGGCAACGCCGTGGGGCGGGAACGCAGCGCCAACCCCTTCGCTACGGGGCAACGACAGGCCGGCGAACAAAATACAATACAAATTTGCGCGCAACGTTGCCAAACCGCACAAATATGTTGCATTCGACGTGGCAACGCCGCGGAGACGAACACCAAATTCTGCCCGGCACGTGGCTCCAACGCGGACGCAGACGACGACGATGACGACGACGACGACGACGACGGGTGACGATGCCGACGAACACGACGACGACGACGACGACGACGACGACGACGACGACGACGACGGCGATGACGACGACTACAATGAGAATGACAATGACAACGACAATGACAACAACAATGACAACGACAATGACAACGACAACGACAGCGACGGCATCGACGACGATGACGATGACCATGACCATGATCATGATGACGATGATGATGACGACGACAACCACGCCGCCGCCGCGGCCGCCGCTCCCGCCGCCCGCCAGCCTGTCCGCCCGCCCGCCCGCCCGCACGCACGCCCGCCCGCCCGCGCGCGCACGCTCGCGCACGCTACGTGGCTACGCCAGGGGAGCGGAACAGATACTGCTCCACTCTCCGTTTCACGTGACAACGCTCGAGGGGCGGAAACTAGTGTTCTACTGTACTTGCCACGTGGCAGCGCCTGAGCACATGGCGACGAAGAAGGCGGGGAACTCATGCTACTCAACTCTACTCGCCACATGGCAACGCCACGTGGCAAGACCTGACCTGAAAAGCAAACAGAAATATTATCCCACTCCACTCGCCACGTGGCAATGACACGGGGACCGAACAAGAAAAACACCTCCGCTCTACCCATCACGTGGCAATTCCGCGACGCAATCTTCCGGACGACTTCTTCCGACAGGACTTCTTCCGGGGCGACTTCATCTGGGCGACATGGGGAGCGAACGAGAAGTAAAAGTAATCACGTGGCAATCCCGCGCGGACCGACACAATCATACAATCCCACTCTACTCGCCGCGTGGCAGCGTCTGGGGGGGCGAAACACACATTCCATTGCATTCGCCACGTGGCAACGCCGCGGGGCGGGAACACATCGAGCGCCACTC